TTAAATTCAGAGAATCTAATCAAAGATTTATAAAAAGCTCGAGCTTAATACTACTATTCTGTTCATTTCCTCCTTTTTGAAAGTTATTAGTAGAAGTTATACAATGATCAAGTCGTACTCAAATCTCATGTAACATGGTCCTGATTACGCAGTTCCTCTAACTCTGAGCTATCCAGTAGAGTAGCCACCAAGTATAAGGGGCTATTGCGCCCCTGAAATTTCATCCTACCAGTTTCAAAAAGTGTACAAAATAAATGCAAAACTCTCAGTAATATTCTTATATTGATTATATGGTGAAATGACATTTTAATGTAGTTTAATATAATTTATTATTAAAATAAGTGTAATCAGTTTGTTTTTACTTTTTTAATGTGGCTAATAGAGATTTTTAAGTTGCATATATGGCTTTGCCTTATATTTGTATTGGACAGCAGGGCTATCTCTCAGGACAGAGTTTCAAAGTAGGGTTATGGTTATCTAATGTCTTCTAGCCAAATTACCTGTCTTTGTCAAAGATTAAAACTTCTGTTTAATCTTTATAATCAGCTGGGTTTCAATACGGTCATACAATAAGATGTCTGACCTGCATGATGTCATGGAATATTTTACACTTTCCCTGAGCTCTAGTAACCCGTAAACCTGTGGTTCTGAAGCTTTGGGGTGCTGTGAAGCGCTGGGGCAGAGAAATGACCTTAGTAATCTACAGAACTTCCTAGGACACCCAACGTAAACAGTGCTCAAATAAAAACAATGCTGCTATAGACCGACTGTATCTCTTCAAAATGCCTATGCTGAAGCTCTAACCCCTAATGTTACTATCTGGAGATGGAGCCTTTAATCAGAGACAATTAAGGTTAGGGGTCGGAAGAGTGGGATCCTAGTCAGTAGGACTGCTGACCTCATCGTAGGTGGAGGAGAGGTCTCTGCCTGCCTGCCAGTGCGGACACAGCAGGAAGCAGTCACCCGCAAGCCAGGAAAGGAGCTCTCCTCAGACATGGACCGCCAGGCCTGCGCCTGGGCTCCTGCCTCCCAAGGGTGCGCGCAAGCCTGTCGTCCAAGCCACCAGGCCACAGTATTTATTAAGGTAGCCCAAGCAGACTAGCAGAGACACCTACCACTTCAGGCAGTCAAATTTCACACTGATTATGGGTACATACATTTTGTAAGATAATAGCATGGTGACTCCCTAAAGTGAGAGTGAATAAATATTTGTTTCTTTTCTCTAAAAGTGAACACCATAGGCCGGTGTTACCATTCGTTTGTCTGATCTCTGCAGACAAACTCACAGATGGACCATGTTTGAGGAGGCAGGTCCAAAGGACCAAGGAAAAATGAGTATTTTTAAAGATCACTTTGAAATATTGTCTTCCCAACTCTATCAACAATATTCCTCTTAGTAACTGGATGGAATTCATACTCCAACTTGAGCTGAACAACCTAAGTTGTTAGTATCCTCCCCGGGGATTTGCGCCTTGCTCGATGACACCTCTAATGATTTCATCATACTTTAAGCATAATAAAGTCTCAACTTCTGCTCCAAGGCAGGAGCAATCCTCATACGCCCAAACCGGTGTAGCACTCAGCCCTGTGGCTGCTGGAGTAACATGTGAAAGGCATTACAAACAGGAAAGAAGGGGTCTCCGCCCGCAGACTAAACAGTAGGCTTTGCCTCTTCCACGTCCTTCCAGCTGGGTACAGCGGCTCACTCCTGTGATCTCAGCTACTCGGGCAGCCTCCTGAGGGGGCAGGACGACAAGGTGGAAGCCAGCCCGGGCTACTTGGCCAGACCCTGTCTCAAAAACACAATAAAAAAAATTATAAGGGCCGGGGATGCAGCTCGGTGCTCTCTGAGTTCAGCCCCTAACACGGACAAAAAGTTTAAAGTCCGACCATCTTTCAGGATTTCAATGCGTGGTTTTAAAGAGGGGGGTGCAAGTTGGGTAGCTGCTTAATCCCTTATCACTTCAATGCCTTCTGTCACCTCTTGAGGCCTGAAAGATCTAGGGAATCCAAGAAACCTTTACAGTTTCATGTGTCCACACGTGTTTTCCGGGGACAGGACCCTGCGGTCTAACATAACCTCAAAGGCAATGGCCAAAGAAGTTAAGAATCTGTGGAACCAGGCGACTCGGCATCCTCCTCCACCTGCAGGCCAGGTGCACCCACCGCCCCAGGCCCTGGCTCCACACCCACGCCTCCGGGAGCGCTCCCCGCTGCTGTTCTCGGGGTGTGGGGGTAAGGTGCACGCCAAGGTGCCTCTCCCCCTGCTCGGCAGGCTGCCCGGGCACCCCGACAACGCGGAGGGGCTCGTGGGGGGCCCTCGCTACGGCCGGGGCGCCCCCCGCGCGCTGTCCGCCCGGGATCGCTGGGGCTGGGGCTC